AGACAAAAGATATATAAAGAAAAGTGAACCGTCTCATCTCATACGATTCATTCTTTTTAGCTCAAAATAATTAGGTTTTCTCTCAAATATCTCTCTTACCTGAGTTTGAAGATCGCAACYTGTTCTTCATCTTTTCATACAATCTTCAGATCACTGTTAGTATTTCTGTTCATCTGTTCGTATTATCAACAGTATTTTAGATTTGTAGTTATATTTCGGTTCTTGTTATGGTTCTGTATTACTTACGTTAAACTCAATAAACGTCAAATATTTGGATTCAATATGTTTAACACACATGCTTAATTAAGTTCATCATTTGGGTTGCAAACAACAACTAAAGCTTTTAGTCTCTTACCTGTAACATAAGATGGTATAACCTCACAAGTTCTTTAAGCTTTGTGACTTGTCATTTTTCTCATCACCGGACTTGCTAAGGTTACTCTCATCTACACTAACTAACAACCGATCATTGTGTTCAATGGTTCATTTCCCTATTACAACACCTATAGCTATGTCAAGGATACTCAAATCGTCTTAGTAGTGGAAATAAAGTTAGAACAACTGCATGTTAAAATTAGAAGAACATTTTGATCCCTACATTGTAAGCACTTCGAAAAATTCAAAGGGATACATTGTTCAGAAAACACTACAGATTACACTCGATGAATCTAAATAAAAACAGAAATCTACTGTAAACTTGTATCGCTCGATACATTTTGAAGTCTGAAGAGAAGAAAATTGTGATGGAATCTAATCCATAGATGTCAAAAGCTAAATCTAACCGCTGTGTGAAATGTATGCTTCAATGTTGACTAGGGAGGCCACATACCCTCGGAGTTCGTAAGTTTTGACACCTGTAGTTCATTGAGGTTGAGATTCGACGGTTGGAGTCTGAGATGTTCAACTAGTGAATATTATCTAATGACCATTATCTTTTGATCACTAAACCATTCACATTAGGGACCATTGTTTTTCGGTCACTAACATTTCCGGTTCAATCTAAAAAGAACTTTTCTTTTATCAATATAGAAAAACATTTTTTTCCCGAGAATTAGTGACTAAGTTTTAACGACGACCTCTGTTATCGTACTAACGTCACAATTTGTGATCAAAATGTAAATATTCACCAAAATTTTGATCACTAACTAAGCTTTTTTATAGTGTGTTTAATTCCCCAAAGTATTAACACAGGTTTAATAATATGGAAACATCTCCGGATAAGGACACTCATTGGTTCTAAAAATAAACAAACTATCAACAAATTGTTAGGCAAGTATGTAAATCACAGATTTTTTTTTGAAGTATATAATATTTATATATGGCAAATGTAACAAATAAACTCACACACCCTCCTCACCTATGGTGAGGTTTGAACCCCTGACCTCCTAGAAGGCCACGGGCTACGATACTGCTAGGCCAAAGGCCCTTTGGTAATCACATAACTTTTTGGTAACATAAAACGTTTTTTAATTAAGATAAATTAAAAATAGTAAAGTTGATCCTTATATATTCAACAAAAACGTACATGCACCAAGATGTAATTAAGAGGGTGTATCACGACATCACTAACCTTGAAGTTTATGATGGAGGCATGGAGCCATCAAGTGTGAATCATGGACCAGTGAAATTTTACAGCAATAACGGTTGCCAAACATATGGGAACTTGTACAATTTTGAATACCGAACACTATGTTACGGAAGATGTTTTTGACCGGACTTGAGATGAAGTTATTAGCAAAACTGAAGAGATTGAAATAGCAACCAAGTCACTTTCTTTTTGTAGATAGTCTGAAGACAAAGTCTATATTCTAAAAGGAATTGATAAACTGGATAATGGATGCATATTTTTGGTCAGCACACATTGACACAAACCAACCAGGATGATTTGTGTAATTGAAGACCTAGAGAGACCATTAACCATCAACAAACTTATTCACAACATTTTTAATGAAACAATGACTTGAAGAATGAAAAAATGACACTCTCATCCTTTGTTTCTCTGCTTCAAGAGAGAAGATTCAATCAAATATTGATGAGAAGGATTATGAAAAGATCCACCACTACCGGTTGTACCTGGTTTTAGTATTACTTGTCTTGTCGATGGCAATTGGATTATGTTAGCGATAAATATGAATAACAAATGAGGGTGAATCGGTAATATCATACAAATCAGCACAAAACAAACGAAATGTTTTAAATGAGGGTGCTACAGACAGTTATAGGTGCTTTTCTTTCATAGATGAGGGTGTGAATGAATTCAGTCTTAGTTGTGCTCAGACTGTAAAAAATCTAAGGTAAATTGTAATAATGGCCCCTTTTACTAAACATTTGACGGATAAGCACCCTCACCTATCAGGTAAGACTCTTGATCCTTGCCTTATTTCTTCTTACCGGATAAGATTCTTGGTCCTTCCTATGCTCACCTGGTAAGGTAGTTCACATGGTAAGGTAGTTCACCCAACAAATGCTTAAACAGTAAGTGTTTGATATACGATCCTTAAGTTATAAGACCATTCACTATGTTTGTTTTTCAATAAATTTGGTTCATAATACCAAAGTTTTTTAAACTATCAAGTACACAAATGGAAGAAGTCAACACACCTTTAATTCTTTTTGTTTAATAACTATCATATTTAGCTCCCTTAAGACTAATATGAGGATATTAATTGTAGGTATGAAATAATAGAGAACTTGAGAATATGACACCCATCTCCTTTTTTCCATTTGATGAGGGATTAGCGAAGGAATAAGTTTTTGGCCAATCCCTCGTTGATCAGCGAGGAAAACTGTTTTTGGACATTCCCTCGTTGATCCCCTGCAGATCAGCAAGGGATCTGGCCGACAGCCCTCCATCTGATGAGGCATCTCTTTGGGAGCAGAGTGTCAGAGGATGGAGGAAATGCCACATCTTTGGCTTTAGGACCACCCAGGATCCCTCTTATGCTATGACGGGTAGATGTAGCAGTAGCAAGTCATCATACGAGTCAAGAGCAGAGGTTTGTTGGTTATATTGTTATAAACTTTCTCATTACTAAAATTGCTAACAAATTACTGATTTTTTCGAATATTGAATATTTACAGGTAACGGAGTTGAGAGAGAAGTTGGCAAGGGTAGAGGAGGAACTGGAGACCGAGCGGAAGAATAGGGCAGATTTGGAGGTCGAGCAGGCTAGACAAACTGCTGCATTAATCGAACAGGCCGCCTTATCGGAACATTTTGCTGCGTTTATGCGGCAGTCAGGATACGTTTTCCCCCACCTCCCGGTAGTTAGATTGTATGCATTTGAAGATTAAATTGTATGAATTGAATATTTTAAATTGTATAAATTAGATATTTTAAATCGTATGAATTGGTCAGTTTTAATTTGTTCATAGTTTTGGTTTGTTATATTATGGCCAGGTTTTGTATACATTAATACAAGAATTATGTAATTTCAAAAAAATTATTTTTTAGCGAGGGAAAATCCGTCGCTGAAAGTCCTTGAAAGTTCCCTCGCTGATCCGTCGCTGATATATTCCCTCGCTGAAAATTCCCTCGTTGATCCGTCGCTGATATATTCCCTCGTTGATCCGTCGCTGAAAGTTCCCTCGTTGATCTGTCGCTGATATATTCCCTCGCTGATCTGTCCCTGAAAGTATCCCTCGCAAATCCGTCGCTGATATCCCTCGCTGATAGCATTACCTACGAGTATTTGACCGACGGAGTATCAACGATGGATCAGCGACGGATGACCTTTTTAGCGACGGATTTGCGAGCAAAATTTCCCTCACTGATACTCTGAATTTTTGTAGTGAGTAGAGGGTGATATATTTGGGCTCATTGTTTATTGTTGTGATGATTTAGAAAGTTCAATTTTGGTATGCGACAAGAGTTTTAACTCTGGAAACTCTATTTTAATCATTTTTTCCTTCAAGGATCCCTTCATGATATGAATTATGATTGTTATGGATTATCCAGAATAGAGTTCGTGCTTCAATACAAAAAATAAAAGAAACAAACTTAAACTACAATAAAATCGTGCAACACGAACAACAAAAAAAAACTATAACTACCAGAAATCTACAAAAATAAGCAACAGTAGATTTCGAGAAACAAGGGAAAAACAACGGGAAATCATACCTAAAAATGGTTTGATCCTGTCAATTTCAAGTTGGACACAGAGATACAGAAAGGAGATAGAGATCGAATCAAGAAACATGGGGAACTTTAAAATGGGTTTTTGACCAGAAAGAAAGAGTAATCAAACAAAACGAGGAGTTGTAAGTTGTTGATGGGGAATATTACCATGTAAATTCTTTGATACTAGTTGAATTCTTTTTTTTTTATTAACTTGGATATCCAACCCGCTATGCAAGCTGACTAATCCCAGGGCAACCACCTACTTTGCAGATAGCCTAGAGTCACCGCATTTGAACCTCCGTGGCCACAAGGAGATTTTTATTTCTCCTTGGATTTGAACTGGGACCTCCTGGTACTTTTAACCTTTGGACTCAAACTCAAACCAATCAAGTACCACCCTTGTGGTTTACTAGTTGAATTCTTTGTTACTAGGAGAAATCATTCATCAACTTTGCTCCCCATAACTACAAAAACGAATTCAATCTTACATAAACCTGAAAATAAGATTGTAGCACAAAATATGAAGTGTACTTGCAACGTCATATTGGCATCCGCCTGAAAATGATATGGAACAAAAGGTTATTACTTCAAAAAAAATTAAAAGTGTACTAGCAATGTCATATTGTGTAATCGTGTAAAACATTCTGATCCTTCAATGATCACACTTAAAAAGAAAGATTGTAGGATTATAGGAACGTTCGTTCAAGTGAACGAATTGTCACAAGGGTCGAGAGTGATCAAGAACAAATTTATTTAGATTTAATCCAAAATGTTGTGGAACAATCCTCGATTAACTATTACAAGCTTCAAAAATCTATATACGAGTTCATAAGGAAAAACATGACAAAGTCAATCAAATGACCAACAAATAACTCTTGAAGAAGTTATCAGGGAAAGAAGAGTTCCATGTGGCTGAAAGCAAAGTCGCAATTCTCAGTTACAACCCAAAAAGTTAACGCGGCTTGTTTTCTGGAAACGCCATTTTGGTACTACTTGAATAAGATTCCCATTCATTAGAACTATATGGGATCAATGGCAGATTGTGAAGATCGGATTGTTCAACTTCTAGGATTAAGCTTCTAGATTCTTCATTTGTTTGTTGTTCAACCCGAGGATGAGTGGTTAACTTTTTCAAGCTCTCTAGCTCCATTTCCACCTCTTTCATCGTAGGTCTATCATCACCTTCTAACTTAAGGCATCTCTTTACCAGCTCAGCTACTGCTTGTATCTGCTCTTGAGTCCCTTCACGTAGCACTCGTGGGTCAACAATTTCATACAGCCGGTTTTGCTTCATCGACTTGACAAAGTATGTTGCTAAATTCTTTTCTTCATTTGTTCTATCTGCACAAAGGGGTTTTTGTCCAGTTATGAGTTCTGCAAGGACCACTCCAAAACTATATACATCACTCTTGTCAGTCAGTTGGCTAGTGTTGAAGTATTGAGGATCCAAGTACCCAAGTGTGCCTTGAACAAGAGTGGTGACTTGATCGTGATCCAATGGAACCAACCTTGAAGCACCAAAATCAGATATTTTTGTGGTATAGTTATCATCTAATAGTATATTGGTAGACTTGACATCTCTATGTATGATAGGCATACTAGCTTGTGAATGGAGGTAACCAAGGAGTTTTTTGCAAAAATGGGTTGGTTTTGAAAAAGGTTTGTAAAAATAGGTTAGTTTTATTTTTGTTGGTAGGAATAGGTTAGTTTGTGTGGGACCCACCCATTTAAAAAAAATCTGATTTTCTATATTTACAAGTTTTACCCTTCAAYTTACATTTTCATTTTTATTTATATCCTTTATTTTGTAAAATTTTATATTTAACCCCTATTATATATTATGTATTAATTTATTTAATTAAAATATATATGTTAAAATTTACGTATTATTTTTAAATAGTTATATAATTAAATAGATCTCATCCATACATTCAAATTGATACTAATATCTAATATATTACAATGTTTGAAAATTACGATACGAATTAAACATTAACTAGA